TAATAAAGTAGTTTTAATATTATAATTTATATATAATTTCAATAATCGATTTAGACTGGCCATATCGACCTATAACTTGGCCACTTGGGATCAACCACAGTTTTGTTATGTTTTTAGGTTATTTTAAATATCACCTAAAAGTAATTTAATCAACTAGGGCAATAAATAAATATTTCAATAACCCGATTGATCCAAAATAAATTTCTTATTTTCCATAAATATATATAATTTTTTAAAATAAAAAACTATTTTATGATTCCTGCAGTAAATGTATATATCAAATGACAATATATTAAGATTATAAATATATCTATATGCATATATTAAGATTGTAAATTATATATCTAAAGATAAATTAATTATTTCTTACTTTATGCATCGTTATAAAAAATAAAGGTAATAATTTTTAAACATTTAAAATTAATTGCTTGATTATGTAATTGACACGATGACGCTATACTAGTATGAGTTACTATGGTCTTGTTTGGTAATTAGTTGTTAGCTGTTAGCTGTTAGCTGATTGTATTAGCTGTTTTGACCAGCAAATTGCATTAGCTGTTTTGACCAGCTGATGATGATAGCGGTTTGTTAAAAAGTGTTTGGTAAAATTAGCTTTTTTAATTAGCTGTTAACATGTAAAATTACCTATAAGGGCATCAACATACTTTATCATCCTAATTTATGTTGAACTTATAATTATTTAGGAAATAGAAATATTTAATATTTTAAATATTTATTAAAATGATTTAAATATGAAAAAATATATAAATAATAATAAACTGAAAATATTTCATAATCGAGTAAATAAGTTCACGCCATATAAACAAGGCCAACAAGAAGTCATACTAATAGAGAATATAAATGTGGCTCAATTGCGATATTCGCTATTATAATTAAAAATTAAAAAATAAAAGAAAAAAAAACAAATACTCTAAGAACAAGGTTTAGATGCCATCAAACTTGAAGCAAATAAAAAAAATATTTGATCCAAACATTTAAATAAATACACATCATAGCTCTCTTGTAAGGAAATTGATGGCATACAAGCGTACATAAAATTCCACTATTTGTAATAAGTATTATATTTTTAACTCATACTCCACTTTTAAACAACTCATTGATAGAGTGTGCATCTGCCCATGGACTCCCTTATATTACATCACTTTCCACACTTGTTAAACACACTGCTATATTTTTTTTTTTTTTTCTGAAACCTGGAGAAAAAAAATAAGGACAATAAGACTTTTATTGAAAAGTTGAATCCAAAACGCTGCTCAAACCAGCATTTTTTAATTTGGCTTTTGGACACCAAAAAGCTATTTGTAACAGCTATTTACCAAACGTTTTTTTTAGCTTATTAAAAAAGTCAAACAGCTAAATTGATGAAAAAACTCTTTTGAAGCCAAAAAGCTGAAAAACAAACCGGGCCTATATATCAGAGATATTTCACATATCAATTAAAAATTTTTGTAGTATGTTATTCATAAATGATTAAATATCATAAACGGATGATGTTTTAGCTAAGAATGTGATTAAAATAAATTATATTTTCATTTTTTGTATATAACTTAAGACAAATTGTTATAATTATTAACTTATTTGTTAAACAATTATTTATAATTCAATTTGAGTAATCTTTCTATAATCATTAAAAAAATATATTCTTATAATGACTATTTTCAAGAAAATATCCTCTCTATATATTATTCCCGAATGCGCTGAGCCTACGTGGCTGCTTCTGGTGCTTCAGAATCCTACTTGGCAAAGAATTATGCTTCGTAATTAGGTTTGGACAAATAATATTGGTATATTAATAATTAATAATTTAGGTTTGTACATTCCATAAATATTATTTAGCTAACTTAGGTATTTTAATATCACTTGTACTAATATAACCTTTTATTTTTTTTGTAATTTTACATACTGAGACACTAAGTGACTAATATATCCCTGACTTTTGATTTGCTTCCTTTAATTACTAATTGAATTATAAATGTATTTTAAAAGTTGATAACTTTTGTATTTTTTTTTTTTTTGCCGGAACGATAGAGTTAATATATAAAAGCACAAAAGTGCAAAAAAAACAAATTACAAGACCCCAACAGGGTAATTCTAAGACCCCAACAGGGTAATGAGACAGGGGCCAACGACCCAAACCAAAAACACCCTAAAAACAAACCGGAATAAAAGACTGAGAGGACACGCACATGGCGGCCTAGAGAACTCCAAGAACGAAAATAAAAAAAAAATGAAAAACAAGCCACTGCACAATGCCTAGCATGTATTCATCTCCAAACCAAAAGACCCAACCAATAACACAAACACTCAAAACACAAAAACGAAAACACGAAACACAAATACGAATACTAAAACAAGAACACAGATAAACTAAAAAATCTAAACGCCCTTCCCCATCGAACGAGCAAGCCCGAACCAGCAGTGGACGATCGACACAAGAAAGATCCAGGCCCAAAACTAGCTACCGAAACTGCAATCAAGCCTATATAGCAGCAAAACTCTAACCCCGAATCAATCCCAGAATCGACCCATCAAAACCGAGAGAGCCAAAGTCCGCCCTACACCGA